CAGACATACCACTGTGTCACTGGGGGGCCAAAAGGTAGGGAGAGGGCTGAATTCCAACAACCAATTTTCTAACGTTTCTGTAAATTTTTAGAAATGAACAAGATGAATAAAAACAAATTGCACGAGGATGTATGCAAATATATATATATATATATAATAGAATAAAGTTTAGAAAACTGTCATCAATAGTAATAAAATGACGTTTCTGTGTATGCCCGCCATATCTCCAAGAGGAAAGAACCTAAAGCCTGAAATATTCCACACATACTAAGTGGAACCTGACGGTGTGCACCTGGGTATTATTACTTATCTACGTGCGTGCAAGCATGAGCGTGCGCATCTTTTTATGCGAAAAACCACATACAAAAGAAATGTGACTGCTATACCTCCAAGAGAAAAGAACCTAAAAACCTGAAATTTTGCACCCATACTAAGTGGACCCTGAGGGTGTGCGTCTAGCTATTATTACGTGTCTTATCCACGTGCGTGCGCGCTTGCGTGTTCGCATCTTTTTAATGAAGCAAGCTAGCAAAAAACTACATAGAAAAGAAGTGGTTTCTTATGTTACAAATTACAGATATAAATCACACACAGACAGACACGCATGTGCATATCTGTGTATGTGTGACTGTCATAGCTCCAAGAAGAAATAACCTAGAAACCTTGCGCCATACTAAGTGGACCCTGAGGGTTTGCATCTGGCTATTATTACTTATCTACGTGCATGTGCGTGTACAATTTTTATAAAAAAAACAAAAAAACACATCTTCTTAATGAGGCAAGCTAACGAAAGACCACATTAAAATAAGTAATTCTTTATATAACAACTTCTAATATATATAGAAAGCCAGTGCTTTTTGGTAACAATGAGTTCCAATAATGACTTTTATGTTTAGCAACAAAAGTATAACCTAATATTTTTCTTTGTCTATGTATTGAAAGTATAAAATGAAATGTATAAACTACAAAACATAAAAAAGTTGGTGATATAACAGAATATATCTTAATTCAGAAACGATTTAAGTTTAAAAAAAATAAAGAAAATCAAACGTGACGTGACGCGACACACACGATTTATATATATATATATATATATTATATACGTGACGTATAGTGGCATCTATAATTATCTATAACATAGTCATCTAGAATATATCAATCTAATAATCCAAGCAAAGCAGGGTACTTTCGCGAGTAATACAATATTTATAACTATAAACCATGCCTATAATGCGATGTTTATTGCTATAAACCGTGTCTATAATACAATATTTATAGCTATAAACCCTGTCTATAATAAAATATTTATAGCTATAAACCCTGCCAATAATACAATATTTATAGCTATAAACCGTGTCAATAATACAATATTTATAGCTATAAACCGTGCCAATAACACAATATTTATAGCTATAAACCCTGCCTATAATAAAATATTTATAGCTATAAACCATGTCTATAATACAATATTTATAGCTATAAACCGTGCCAATAATACAATATTTATAGCTATGAACGCTGTATATAATAAAATATTATAACTATTAACCGTGTCTATATTACGATATTTATACCTATAAACCGTGTATGTAATACTATGTTTATTAAGCCATGTCTGTAATATTTTATTTTTGATTTATAAGTACAAAGGTTTATAATGGGCTATCGAGCCCCGAATTTTTGCCTTTTTTAAGCCTGGAGACTTACCGGTGATCCTAAAGGATGACGGCTATAATGTGATGAATCTTTGGTTTGAAAACCGTTAATATAATGCGATAAAATCATTGTAGTGTAAGGAACAGAAAAGGTAAAATAACAACACACTTTAGAAATAAAATATTAGAAAACAAACTAGGAAACAAGTTTATACAGTTGCATGTATTCTCATATAAAAGTGACAAAACAAGTGTTTGTGTTCTTATAATTTGTTTCAACGGTGTCGTTTTTATCGTTAAGCGCGATAAATCTTTACTATTAGGGTTTGAAAACCGTATTTGTAATGCTATTAATCTTTACTGTTAGGGTGTGAAAACCGTAATTATAATGCGATTAATATTTTGTTAGTGTTTGAAAACCGTATATATATAATGCGGTAAATCTTTACTGTTAGGGTTTGAGAACCGTATTTATAATGCGGTAAATCGTTACTTTACGTGCGTACCTATGTATTTGTGTGTGTGTGACCGCTATAGCTCTAAGAGGAAAGAACCTAGAAACTTGAAAAGAAGTGTGACTGCCATAGCTCTAAGAGAAAAGAACCGAGAAACCTCAAATTCTAAACCCATATTAAGTAGATCCTGAGAGTGTGATCTGAGTATTATTTATCCACGTGCATGCGCGCGTACACATCTTTTTAGTGAAAAACCACATAGAAAAAATTGTTCTTTATATTACAAATAGAAATCACAGATATACAGACAGACACCACGTGCGTGCGCATCCTTATAATGAGGCAAGTTGACGAAAGATTATATAAAATAATTTCAAATATATAAAAAAGCCAGTGCGATTTGGTAACAATGCATTCCAACGATGGCTTTTATGTCATGTTGCTTAGCAAGAAAAGTATATAGGTTATACTTTTATGCTAAAATGGGTTCAGAATACACTCACACTTTTATAATCATCTAGAATATATCATCCTAATAATCCGAGCGAAGCCGGATATTTTACTAGCTTGCCTTATTAAAAAGTTTCTCACGCACACGCGTGTGGATAAGATAAGTAATACCCAGGTGCACTGCCATAGCTCCAAGAGGAAAGAACTTATAAAGCTGAAATTTTAAGTGGACCCTGAGGATGTACACCTATATATTATTACTTGTCTTATCCACATGTATGTGCACATGCGCGTGCACATCTTTTTAAGAGGCGAGCTAGCGAAAAACCACATAGAAAAGAAGTGGTTCTTGATATGACAACTTCTAATATGTTGAAAAGCCATTGCATTTCGGTAGCACAACCATAGCTCCAAGAGGAAAGAACCTAGAAACCTGAAATTTTGCACTCATACTAAGTGGACCCTGAGGATGTGCACCTATGTATTATTACTTGTCTTATCCACATGCGCGTGCACATCTTTTTAAGAGGCGAGCTAGCGAAAAACCACATAGAAAAGAAGTGGTTCTTGATATAACAACTTCTAATATGTTGAAAAGCCATTGCATTTCGGTAGCACAACCATAGCTCCAAGAGGAAAGAACCTAGAAACCTGAAATTTTGCACTCATACTAAGTGGACCCTGATCGTGTGCACCTAGTATTACCTGGTATATTATCCACGTGCGTGCGCGGATGCGCATTTTTTTAATGAGGCAAGCTAGCAAAATACCACCTAGAAAAGTAGTGGTTCCTTATATAACAACTTCTAATATATAGGAAAGCCAATGCATTTTGGTAACAATGCGTTCCAACAATGGCTTTTACGTACAAAAGTACACAAGTAATACATTTATGCAAAATGGGTTCAGAATACACACACAGTATTAACCCGATAATCCGAGAAAAGGATGTGTACAAATCGTATTTTATATTTATAACTACAATATATATCTAAACATATAATCATATAAGATAATTATATTACACATAAAAGTATAATAAAATTCAACTTTGAGATTTGTTATTAAGATAACAGAAGTTCATCGGGAAATTAAATAGTAAAAGCGTCATTTAGATAAAATGTAGTTTAACTAAGGATGTTAGTATTGTCCTCGGGAGCCAAGAATGAGTGTTCCCATTAAGTTGTTACTTGGTTTCTGTAGTTTAAGATTGTCAAACCTACTAATCACATCGTCATCATACTCTTAATGTGGATGCCATGATATGAAAGAGTGTTTAGTGTAGATATTATTGATTGATTTATTTTGTTAGTGAATATTTTATGATTGTTTAATTTTTTGTTATAATGAGAGAGTTAAGAGCAGACGATTGTTAGAAGTTGTGTATAATTGATTGATGTTGAGACTATCGAATGTCGCGTGCAATACACTGTCGTCGAGAATATAGAGATTTCTAGAAGGCGAGCAGACGATTAAGTGATTAACATATAAATAAGTGTGAGACGAGTAGAAACAGCAGACAGATAGAGCAAAGGAGAGACCAAAGAACGGGTAGTAGAAGTGCGGCCAAAGAAAAGGTTAAAAAACGAAAGTTAACCGTCGTAGGAATGGATAGCCTAACGGTTGATTTGTTAAAGTGAGATTAACAGTTTTCTGACACTTTAGAAGAATAATTTGTTTCGTCAAAAGATGTTCTAAACCAAGTGGACTTTTGGCAAGAAGAAGGTAACTATATATAGTGTTTATGATATACCTATAATCTCTATATTGTAAATAATTTGTTGTACATACGTTTAACTTGTTACGAATATATATATTATTTTGAAAACAAGTGGAGTGCATGCTGTTATTTTATCGTTGAATTTATCGCTAACAAGTCAGAGACACCTACTGTTGAAAAATCCTAAGCCCTAATTTTGAATGCCATGACTAGAAGATCTTGAATATCGTTTTTCGTAATATTATTTGTGTTAAGTATGGGGTGGAAATCTTTTGAAAGCTCGGACGGTGGAAGGAGGCGGGGGTTCTATGTCATCATGCGAATGTTTTTGTTACATTATTCTTTTTTTTTCTGAAGATGGGAGTTGTTCCACTGGAATCACTTCAGTTTTTCTGATTTGTTGGTAAACATATTTCTATTATAACCTCTGATACAGAGCTGATTTTCTAGTTTCTTGCAGATCACTCGGAAGGCTTTTGTTCAAAATAAACTTTCCTCCATCAAAGAGCTATAGTGTATGGAATATTTCTAATATAGTGAAGAGGAAGAAGGTGTATTTGTTGATCGGTAGGCTTTACACAGAGACGAGTAGTCAAAGCTCCGCCTGAATTGTTCATAATTGTGACGTCTAGAAATTACAATTGTGAGGTGCAATAGTTGGCGGTGAATTATATGGAATGTCACACTGCATAAGTTATTGTATCAATCATTCTTCTTTAGGATCAACACGTTGTTGGAGCAGACACTTCTCCAGAGAAATAAGATGAAGGCGACTTTAGCTGTTATGCAAACCTATATATTTTTTCCATAGCTTGTTTTACAATCTCCAAAAGCCTAGGTTTTTGAGACAGATGTCAACCTTTTGGATTTTAGGGAAGATGGTATGTCTTGCTCGTTCTTTCTTTCATGTACTTATTGTATTATCAAACTGTAAATGAACAGTGCGTATATAATCTTACCGCAAAACAACAAGTCACAAAAGAAAATACGAGACACTTGTTAAGTCTTGCTGCGTACAACTTGCGAAACGACGGGATTCAGGTAGGCAAAGTTTCTCATACACTGCCAATAGAACGCCTACTAATTAAATAAACGATCCTAGAATATTTATATTTGTTTCCTGAATATATATGCATAGGCCATCTTCTTATTCCAAGTTATTAAAGAGTTAAAAACATTGCAGCTTTACCTACTATAGTGGTATATTTAGTTAGTTTGACGTTACTTAGCCATAGTGTTTTTCGTTTCTTTTAAACATTAATGCCAGTAACAGAAATGTTAAAAGAAAACAAACAATTTTATTCTAATGAGAATGTCCACAGTCTCAAAATACAATGAAACATATGCTCCTCATAATGACAAAGTAAGACGCCGAAACATGTAGAATGTTTGAAACTGTGCCCAGTCTTTATACAGTAAATTATTGAGCAAATGTTTTATTGTTTTTTGAGACTAGGGACAGTTTCATTTTCAAATATCTGTTGTGTTCCATTAAACATTAATTTTATTTTAACATCTGTGTCATTTAAGTTGTTTCTGCAAGAACGGCTGACAACAATATTAAGGTTAAAACGACACATTTAAATCTTAAATAACACATTATTATGGAAAAAAGTTATCTCGTTATACCACCAGGATAAACTTTTAGAGTTGGATGAATTACTTTAAATTTTATTTTCTTGTTGGTCTATGAAATAATCAACTGAAACTGAACACTATTACATGATAATGATATAAAATATCTCCAGAATTTAAGTAGAGTTTAAATTACAATGTGTTGTTGCAGTTCATCAAACTGGGAAGCTAATTCACAAAAATCAAATGATCGTAAGGAAAACAACACATGAAATCTAAACAGGATAACATCTTCAAATCGTAATTATAACAAAGCAGCATATTTTCAAAACTATTATAACTACAGATCAATTACTGTTGTAGAACATACACTAAGATATCTGAAATAGAATTTCTTAAATAGATAAATTCATATATTTCTCATTTTGCTTACTAGCTGCTTAATCCTATACAGAAATATCAAATGCAAAGTTGAATGTAATTGTATTACATCAATATATTTCAATATATTTCATACATACAGAAATCATGTAGTAAACTGAATGGGTTACTGAAACTACAATTTTGCATATTAACGTTGTAAGTAAATACGACTACTCAAATAATACATATGACTTTAAATTCTCCACTAAAATCAAGTAAAATATAAATTTTATAGATTATGGAACAATTTCTGTCTCCAGATTTATTATCTAAATGATATGACATATCTGTATGGAATTATATGAGGCCCAGCATGACCAGGTGGTTACGGTGCTCGACTCGCAATCTGTGGGTCGTGGGTTCGAATCCCCGTCACATCAAACGTGCTCGGCCTCTCAGCCGTGGGG